AGCGACCGGCTGAGCTGAAGGCCCTTGTGGCCGAGCTGCGGGGACGGCTTGCGGAGATGGAGGCCGGGCTCTCGAGTGCCACTCTGGCCCGCGATGGCGCGATGGACGAGGTAAAGCGCCTGGCGCAGCAATGTGCCGATGCGGAGCGGGGTCGCGAGGCGGCAGAGGCAGCCCTACAGCGTGTGGAGGCCGAGATGAAGCAGACGCACGCCAAGCTGCAGGAGGAGTTGCGTCAGATGCAGGAGAAGCACGAGGAGGAGCTCGAGGCGGCGCTTCTCGAGGCGAACGAACGCATTGCAGAGCACGATGAGCTGCTTCAGCAGAAGCTTGAGGAACAGGGGGAATATTATGAGAAATTACTTGAGGAAAAGTCGCGGTTGGAGTCCTGTGCCGGCGGATGGTGCTGAGTTGGGTGATGCGCTGTATTGGAAAGCGGAGCACGACAAATTGTATGAGCGGTTTGCGTTGTTGCAGAGTGAACGAAAATTGCATTTGGATGACGACGATGCGCGGTGTATCTGTTCGCAGGAGCGCGGCATGAAGGAAGGGTTTCAGCGGAGTGCACTTGGTTGTAAAAAGTGGCTTGATAATGATTTACAGGCTGCTTGTGCTGCTGCCTTTGAGGAGGTTGCGTCGCTTAAGAGACAAGTGGTAGAACTGCAGAATGCGAAGGAGCAGGAGGAGGAAAAAGTGGCTGTGCAGGCAGGAGAGCCGCGCGACTTGCAGAAGCAGCTTAGTATAAGGGAAAAGGACTGTGCTGAGGTCTCGCATATGTACGAGGAAACAGCGTTTTTGATACGTGATGGTGCTACAAGCGTGGAGGGGCTTCTGCAAGAGAAGCGGGCGCGCATTGAGGAGCTGGAGGTGCAGGTCCAGAAGATGTCGCAACAGGCGTTGTTAACCGAGGAGCAGTTGCGGTTCGTTAGCGTGGAGGCGCAACAGCTGCGACAGGAGTTGGATGAGTGCACAGAGAAGTACCTGAACCTTGAAGCAGTGCACCGTGCGTTGGGCGCCGACCTGCGTGAAGCCAAGCGCCTGCTTGAGGAGCGTCAGCGGACGTGGTCGCAGCGGCTGGAAGGCATGCAAGGCGACATGGAGAAGCAGATGTGCGACGCAGCGGAGGAGGTGCATCGGATACGCTATGAACATGAGCAGGAAGGAAATGGACTGCGCCGTGAGATAGATAGGCTGCAGGCAGAGTTGCAGGCGGTGCGGACACTTGCCGCCACAAAGCAGATTACGGCGCAGGGGAGCCACCACCAGCTTGAGCACCTGCGTCAGCAGTTGACGGAGGCCCTGGATGAGAAAACGCAGTTTGCCGCGGAGCTGGAAGCAACGCAGCAGTTGCTGCACAAGAAGGAGCTTTTGCTGCGCGGCCAGCAGCAGGGCGATGACGCTTTGGGTGTGGTGGGTGACAGCAGTCGTTCTTCCGATGCCCGCATCAGCTCGTTGCTGCAGCGGAGCGAGGCACTGGAGGGGAAGGTGAGGCAGTTGACAAGCGAGAAGGACACCTTACTGCAGGAGAAGGATGCGTTGGAGCTGGCTCTTCAGAGCACCCGCCACATGGTGGAGGTGCGGGACCTTGCGTGCCAGCGGCAAACGGATGAGGTGAAGCAGATGCGGGCGCAAGTCGCCGCCATGAAGGAGGATTTGTCGTTTAGAGTTCAGTCCTGTAATGCGCTGCGGCAGGAGTTAAATGAGGCGCAGGAGCAAGCGGCGGAACTCGCGCGCGCCTACGAAGACTTCCAGCAGGCCACTTTTGCGGAGCAACGCGTTGCGCTTCTTCGGGAGCATATGGAGGCTCTGTTTCTGGCGAAGGTGATGACGATCCCGCGCGTCATACAAGATGTGCTGCACGGCATCATGTGGGCCTATCAGCGCATGCTGCGGCACGTCGCGGAGAATCAGCGCAAACTTCTTGCCCGCTGCGACGCCATTGAGCAGACAGCCACAGATGCGATGATGGAGGGGGAGCGACAGAGTAATGAGTTTCTTGTGGCCATCGAGGACGCCAAGGTGGAGCGGCAGCAGCTACAGGCGATCATTGAACGCCTGGAGCAGGAGATTGCCGCGGCCAATCGCATCGCAACGGCAGCCACAGAAGAGACCGCTGCGGTAACGGCAACTTCCACGGAGGCAGCACGCGACGCACGTGAGGCGGCCTCTAGAGCCAAGAGCGACCTCCAGGCGCTGCAGCTTGATTACGATGCTGCCCTCAACACCATCAGCATGTTGGAGACGGAGAAGGTCAACGCTGCCCGGCTGCTCGCCCGGGCGAATGCCCGAATAGAAGAGGTGGAGGCGGAGCAGCAGGGGGAAGTGGCTCAGCTGCAGGCGGCGTTGCTCGAAAAGACGCAGTCACTGCGCGACGCACAGGCGGTGGCGACGCAGAGGTTGGAGGCCGCGGAGCGGCAGGTGGATCAGTACAAGGTTCAGCGTGACGATGCCGCAAAGCAGGCACAAACGGTTCAGGCGTCGTTGGATCGTGTGTTGCCACGACTTGAGCGGCTTGAGGCGGAACGGGCGGAACGGGAAGCAGAGCTGATGGATGCAACACAGCAACTGACGGCGTTGACTCAAAGAAGCACCTCAGCAGAGATGGTGGCGCGGCGCCACATGGAAGCCCTTAATGCAACTCTTGCTGAACTGCGGTCCTCCCAAGCCGCCCTAAGCGAAAAGTGTGCAAAGGCCTATGCCCAGGTCGATGAGCTCAGGGCACAACTGACGGCAAGCGAGACGGAGGTTGGGCGATTGCGCACTCGCACGGCGCAGCAAGAGCAGGAGGTAAAGGCGGCGCATGCACGGCTTAGTGAGTTGGAGTCCACCTATGTGCACGACACAAGCGATGCTGCAACATGGCGGCGTGACGCAGAGCGACGCTATGCGACACTGGAGCATCGCAACAGTGCCCTGCTTGTGGAGCTACAGACCTCGCAGCAGCAACAAGCCTCCCTGCAAGAACACGCTGATGCTCTAGAAGCGAAGCTGCGGCAGGCGGCGGATGAGCATCGTGACAAAGACCAGCAACAGAGACGTTCTATTCAACAGTTGAGGGAACGCTGTGATGCCCTGGAAGGTGACCTTGTGAGACTAGAGGAGGCGCATGCAAAAATTACTGCTGAGCGGGATGCGCTGAATCGCGACTGCTTAAGCGCAAAGCAGGATGTGGAGCGCCTGGAGCACCACCTGGAGGCCACGAATCGTCACAATGAACAACTTCACAAGGAACTAAGACATCAGAAGGAGTCCCATGACGCGGAGATACAGACGATGCGAAAGACGCTAGAGGGGGCGCGGGGGGAGCTCAACGAGTGCCGTGCCACCTTCCTTGAGGCGGAGACGCAGTTAAAGGAGGTGCGGCACGTGGCGCACACTCTTGAAAAGGATAACATCCGAGGTGCCGAGGAGCTTGCACGGGTGCGGGGGCTGGCGAGCGCCGAGCAGGAATCCATGGAGCGCGAGCGTGAAGAAAAACAGGCGCAGGTTGCCGAGCTACACGAGGAGGTGCTGCAGCTTCAGAAGGAGCTTTATGCGGCGCGGCAGGAGTGTAAGGTGTTGGAGTCAAACTGCACGCGGAACGCGGATGACGCAGAGCTGTGGCGCCGCCAGCTGACGGATATGACGGATCACTATCGCGCTCTTCAACAGGATGCGGCGGAGCAGCAGGAGCAGCTGACGGCGGCCCTGCGGTCTTTTCGCGCAGAAGCCACAACCCTGCAGTCAAAACTTGATGACGCCATGGACGCGTTGGCGCAGAAGCAACGTGAAAGCGAGCAGTGTGAGGAACGTCACGTGCGAAAAATGGAATTGAGTCGACTTGCGGAGGAAACGCTCCGGAGGGAAGTGACGGATCTCCAGCGGGACGTCCAGCAGCTCCAGCAGAGGCTGACCGCCGCCACAAACGCCGCCCATGAGACAGATAGGATTGCGGCGCAGCAACAGGTGACAATACGTGCACTCTCGGAGGAACTGGGGCGCTTCAAGACGCAGTCAGCAACCGACACGGAGGAGAGGGAGGACCTGCAGACCGCCTTGCGGGAACGAACGCTGGAGTTGGAGCGTGTGACACGCAACGCGGCTGCTGACCTGGAGAGGCTTCTTGCAAACACCAACGAGCTGCACCGTAGCAACGCTGACAGCTTGGAGGCCGAGCTGCGACGGGAGCAGCAGGCGGCGCAGGAGGCCCGCACCGCACGAGATCGCGCTTTGGAGTCGCTTGAGCAGCGGGGGAGTGAGTGCGAGATGCTGCAGGCGGAGGTGACGCGGCTGCGGCAGATGCTGCGCTCTGCCCAGGCGCAAGTGAGTTCCACCCGGGCGGAGGTGGAGAGCACCGTCTCACAGGCGGCGATGGAGGTGGGACTCCCACAGGATGGGGAAGTCTCACTGAGTCGTGTGATCAATGAGCTGTTGTTGCGCCTCAGCCGCTCTTCCCACGGGGCTGCTATGCTAGATGTTGAGGTGTCGCACTTCAAATCCTTTGAAAATGCCTGTGAGGCGCATGCTGCGGCGCTGCGGTACGCGACAGATGCAACGCGGCTTCCGCTACAAATTGTCACTAGTGGCGCCGCACCCAATTCTCCCCTCGTGCAGCCCCATGAGAGCAGTAGTGGGAGCAGTGTACACTCCTTGCGGCACCGACCCATGCCATCGCATCCGTTGGTCGTGCGGGATATCGTAAGAAACGCCTCAACCTATGCCCACCGCCTGATGGAACACTGTCGCACACTTCGTGGCATGTTGGAAAACATGCAGGTGATGCTTGCGCAGTGCGACACAACTGTTATTGGAGATCCAGCGGTTACCCGGGTGAAGCTTGTTTTCATGGCGACATTAAGTGAGCTGCACCTTCGCACTTCGCGGCAGACGACACTGTTGTACCAGATAGCCGATGGTGCTATTATATCAACTGCGCTTCAGGAGACCGCAAGAGTTTTGCGCGACGACGAGGCGTACGTGATGCGCCCGTTCAATGAACTTCTTACACCTTCTTCCTTTTTTGCTTCCACGTCATTGCGCACACCTCGGTGGAGCTGTGGCGGCAGTCAGGAGTCAGCCTCCTCAGCAACGTCTCGGGCTTCATTTGCTGAGAGTCCTTCCGTGGGTCTGTACCTCCAGCAGAGAAGTTGTGTGAAGATGGAGAATGAACATTCCTCGCGAGGTGTGCCTGAGCCACAGCCGCGCATACAGGGCGGTAACGTGCCAGGCGAGGGGCCGCGAAGGTCTTCCATGGCCGCTGCAGCTAGGACGGACGCCGCAGTGACGGCAGAAGCGACGGTGGTGGGGGCCTCAGAAGGCCGTGGGTGCAGTTGAACCGACCGTTTTGCCGCGCGGCGGCTGCAAGACGCGGCGTAGCAGGCCGCCTCACGCGTTGAGGGTTGAACGACATCGTGTGATTCAATCAACGTCATTTCTACCTGTTCTTCGTGGCATTTTTTTTTCTTTGTGTGTGTGTGTCTGTTAGATGTTGTTGTTCCGTCAAAATTGATGTGTATTTATTTGCGTTGCTTTTTTTTTCGTCTTCTATTGTTGTTGCTGGTTTGACGGTCTTTGAGTGCTTTTTGAATGTATCCATGTGCTGCCGTGTCAGTTGTGTGTGCGTGCGTTCCCTCTTCTTTTCGCTCTTTTTCTGAGGCCGTGGTTGTCCTTGCGGTCATGTGCGCATTCCTTTGACCGTCACTCGCGCGGCTCGCGTCGTTGTGGCGTCTGAATGAAAAAAAAAAAACGGGCATCGTAAAGGGAGAGACTGGCAGGTAGAGAGGCGAAAGTCCAAACAACACAGTCGCGAAAGGAATAAGACGCACACACAACAGAGGAGAAGTGGGAATACAACGCTTGTGCTCTGTATGGGCCCTTCTTTTCACCTTCTTCCCCTCTTGAAGAAGGCTGCTGCGAGAGAGGAAGTGCCACGGGTATTGTTGATGCTTCTTCCTTTATGACCCTTTGTTCCCCCTCCCCCTGTTGGATGTGTGTGTGGAATGCGAATACGTATGCGTGGACTGTGGCGTGTGTGCGTTTGCATGTGTGTTCTGCCCTCCCACTCCAGTAAGCAGCACCTCTGTGATTTTCCCACTTCTTCGCTGCGATGGGCCGGCTCCAGAACACAGAGACGGATACCGTGACTCCCTAACCAAGCAGTGAGGGCTGCGTGGTTGTAGTATTACCATTATTAGTACGGGTAGTGTTGGTGGTGGGAATAGGCGATATTGTTACTTGTGGATCTTTTAGTGACGGAAGAGATGAGGTCATCTGACATCTTCCACGCGTATCGCTATACACCGGTCGTCCTGAAGTCGCGGCATCACGACAGTGGCGTCAACCAGTACGGCCTTAAGCCCGTGAACGCCTACGATTACATCAACCCAACGAATCTTGTGAACTTTGGTCGTGGGACCTCTTTTGACAATCTTGGCGTACGGCGTTCGGGTCGCGGCGAGATTGACTCTTCGCCGTCGCTCGGTGGCTCTCCTGTTTTCACGCAGGCGAAGCTTGTTGGCCTGAGCGGCGAGGAGCAGCTCACCATGTGTCAGTCGGAAACAATGGCGCTGCGGGTGTGCATGGCGAAGGGCGGGCAGAGCAGCTGTGAGCGGGAGAGCCGCGCTTTGGACGTGTGCCTCTCGCGTGTCGGACACTTGCGGCAGGCGATGAGTGCGGCGTGTGCCGAATTTAATGACTGGTTTATTCAAAACGTTTCAGACAATCACACCAAGCCGTTTCAGCATCGACCGCATGACTGGCGGCACTTCTACGCACAGGAGAAACTCGTGCGGGAGCGGCAGCAAAACGGCCACGCGTACGGTCGTCGGCCCAAACAGTTTTCCTTCGGGGCGCGGTACGTCAAGACGGAGGGTTACGGCAAACGGCCACGCCTGCCGTACAACAAGTGAGCTTTGGTGGTGGTGGTGGTGGTGGTGGTGATCAATCACCGCGGCAGTACAAGACGGTACTATCAGCGATGAAAGGAAGAGCCCAACAAGAACGACGACGGGGCCAAGGAAGACAGAATTGGGTTGTTTTCTTTGTTGCAGCCCTTTCTTCTTTAAAAGTCGTTAGCCCGTTGTTTCTTTCTCTCTTTCTTTCTTTCTTGTTCGCGTTAGCATTATTATTATTATTTGTGTGTGTTTGTGTGGAAGCCGTGGCGCATAGTTGACTTGCCATCTGTTGTCTTTCCCTTTCTTTCTTTGGATTTTCTCACACATCTCTGCGTGTGTGTGTGTGTGGTGGGGGGGGGGGGTATTACAGCAAGGAGCCAAGAGGTGTTTGAAGTGTGGCACACCTCGGTTATCCCCCATTCTGCACAAAATGGGACACACAAAGGATGCCAGCTCTATTGCGTGCGCAGTGTATGCGCAGTACGGGGACGATGCGACGTCGTTCAATCGATTGCTGCGTCAACGCGTGCTTCCCCGCGGCGGGCGCTTCGATCATGACACCCAAGACACGTTTATGTACATTCAACGCAGCAAGAACCGCAGCGTCGTGGCATACGCGGCAAACCTACTGGATGCGGGAACGCGGGGGTCCGTGCCGTCCGGCGCTGGCCGCTGCTGCGTTATGGATCCTGCCAACCCCGTACACGCCTACTTCGTCATACTGGAACCCTCCATCGTCGAGGAGCGACGGAAGAAGGGTGCCACCAGCGAGATTAGCGAGCTCACCTTCATTCAGCGGAAGCTGGCGTATGGTTGCAGCGCCAAACCACTTACCTCGGTGAAGTCTGAGTTGACGAAAAAGGATATTGGACCATGGCTGAAATGCTTCGACGCTCAAGCTGTTTCGTACGTTGCGCTACCCGGGTTCCCCCTGCTGCTGCTGGCGCTTCCACCTCTTGGAGACGCAACGGAGCAAAGCGTTGAGGCGGAGGACGCGGGGAGCCCAGAATGCGCTGAAGGGATGCAACAGAGGACAGCGGACACGTTGGTCGTGCTGCTAGGCGTCGTGGGCGGCGTGCTTAGCGTCGTCCAGCGGGCCTACGTGTGCAGCATCGAGCCCAAACATTTTTACCAACTCCCGACGGTGAGGTACATTGAATTATTTGGCGTCTCTCTGGAGACCGGCGAGGACACGTACGAAAAGAAGCTGAAGTAAAGATAGAGACAGGAAAAAACAAAACAAAACACACCTGTTTATTATTTATGACGACGCGTGTGCGGTGCCCGCCAATCACCCGCACGGAGTCGGCGAAGGAGAGGCGTGGATCAGCAGGGCCGAAAACGACAAGCAAAGCAAGAGTGCGGGAGGCACCAACTACTGGGCAGCGTCGTGGTGTTTTGCAGAGTGGAGTGCAGGGGCTATCCGCGTGGGGCGATACTTTTTTTTTTTTGTATTGTTTTCTTTTCTCTTCTTTTTGGGTGTCCGCGAAAAGGAAACGTTGAGTCCGACATTATGTTATTGTCTCTTTTAAGATGTACCAAAACAAAATAAACAGCCGATCGTTTCATTTAATTTTGCCGTTTGTGCAATTCATTTATTCATAGATGTTGTTTTGTTTTATGTGGTTTGCATCAGCGTCTGCAGGAGCTGTCAAGGGTCGAGTTATGTGACCCGATGGCTCCTGCAGGCACACACACACACACACACCTTGCGTGGGTGATGAGGGAAAAAGCCACCTCTCCGCACCCACACCCTCTCGCCAGTATTTTAAGGCGTATGCGTTAGGTGAATTTGCCCTCTGACTTGCCGTTTGTGTTGCTGCAGCGAGCGAGTTGAGTCGTGAGGTGGAAACCACATGGACAATAAGCTACATAATTTTCCTTGCTTGTTTCCCACGATCTATTGGGGAGGAGAGGGGAGGGCTCAGACGACGTGGGTTAGAGGTTTTCCCCATTCATTCATTCACCACGCAACGCACTTTTTGTGGCATTCGTTTACCGTTTTTATGTGCACGTTTGGCGTCGGTTACTTTTCACTGCAGTTCTTCCTTCCTTATTGTGTGTGCGATCTCAAGGCTTTCCACCGTGGATCTTTCTGCCGCATGCTTTTTATTATTATTATTATTATTTTACGTGTTTTTGCGTTTTCCCTGTTTGCTCCCACCGGCGTCTAGAAGAAGAGGGAGGGAAAGCAGGAAGGAGCGATGCCTTCAAAGGGAGGTGGCGCGAATAGCAAGCAGCAGCAGCAGCGCCAGGGCGGAAAAAAGGGAAATAAGAAGAGCGACGAGGACGACTTCGATGCCATCCTCGCGAATGCGGTGAGGGAGACGCAGGCGGCCGCGCCCAAGCACGTCAACAGTAACCAGCAGAAGGACAATAACAAGGCTGGAAAGCAGAAACAGAAAGCAAACCCCACTGAGGTGGAGGCGGCGAGGGACGAGGACGTGGACGTCAAAGTCATCAGCACCGCCGATCACGTTGACAACCCGTATCCGCAGGTGGCACCAGGCATGCAGCGGCAGACGTGGCCGGAGCCAACAGTGCCTGTGTGCAAGCAGTTTGCCAATGGGAACTTTCCTCCCGGCGAGATTTGCGAACACCCAGGTGAGGTGAATGCCTATCGTTACAGTAGCGAGGAGAAGAGAGTGTTGGAAAGGGCGACAGAGCAGGAGGTGCAGGAGCTGCGCCACGCTGCGGAGGTGCACCGGCAGGTGCGTCGCTATGCCCAGAGCTTCATCAAACCTGGTATATCCCTCATCTCCATGACCGATTGCATCGAGCGGAAGTTGGAGGAACTCGTCGTGAAGGACGGTCTTACACGCGGGCAGGCCTTTCCGACCGGTTGCTCGCTAAACCACGTAGCCGCCCACTACACACCGAATACAGGCGACAAAACAGTTTTGACGTACGACGATGTCATGAAGGTGGACTTTGGCGTACAAATCAATGGCAGGATTATTGACACAGCGTGGACAGTGGCATTCAACGATGAGTACACCCCATTACTGGAGGCGGTCAAAGCGGCCACGTACGAGGGTGTTAAACAGGCTGGCATTGACGTCCGCTTGTGTGATATTGGCGAGGCCATCCAGGAGGTGATGGAGTCCTACGAGGTGGAGATCAAAGGCAAGGTGTACCCGGTCAAGAGCATTCGCAACCTCTGCGGCCACAACATTGGGCCTTACGTCATTCACAACGGCAAGTCCGTGCCTATTGTGCGAGGTGGCGAGACTATTAAAATGATGGAGGGGGAACTGTTTGCCATTGAGACATTTGGCTCCACTGGGCGAGGTGTCGTGCAGGAGGATATGGAATGCTCACACTACATGATGGTGCCAGGCGGGGAGAAGAAGCAGGTACGCTCTGACAAGGCGCAGCAGTTGTTGAAGCATATTAACAAGACGTACGGAACACTGGCGTTTTCACGGAAGTGGCTAGACCGTGACGGTTATGACAGGCACCTGCTGAATCTGAACCAGCTTGTGGATGCGGGGGCCATCAACAAGTATCCCCCCCTGTGTGACGTCAAGGGCTGCTACACGGCGCAGTATGAACACACCATTCTGTTGAAGCCGACAGCGAAGGAGGTTCTCTCCAAGGGCGACGACTACTAGGGCCAGTAGCGGCAGTAGTAATAGGGGTAGTAGTTGTAATAATAGTAGGAGAGGAGGCAGGAACATGACACCTTTGCCGGGCACAAAGGTGTGTGATGACGAGAATGGCATGAGAATGACGGAGGGGGAAGAGTCGTATTCACGCAATAAAAAAAAACAATAATGATTATTATTATTATTAAAAATGAACTGCCCTCTTATTCATTTATGTTATTATTCTGTGTGCTCCTTCACTCAACTCACAAAGGGCTTATATCGCAGGCGTAGCTGACGCCGTGCAAGAAAGAAACAAAAAAAGAAACAAAAAAGGAAAAAAAAAGGTAATTCAGGATGAGCTAAAGCTATGAAGAGGAGGAAATGTTATATCTACAGAAAATGAATACACGTGACTTTTTTTTTTCTGTTATTGTTGTTCTCTCTTTTGATTGTAATATATTTGGTTTCCGTTTTGGTCGTTCGGCACGGTGTGTGTGGGCGGAGGTGCCTGCATGCACGCATGCGAGCTCCACATTGCTGCAAGAAGGCAAAAAAAAAAAAAAAAGAGGGGGAGAGGGAGAGGGAGTGCAGAGAACCACGTAAAGTTGCAACGTCTGCGAAACGGTGTTTAAGTCCTTCTTCTCTCTTATCTTCACACACTTAAACGCAGGAGGAATAAGCAAGTGACTTGTAATAGTCATGTGGATGAGGCGGGAAGGCGCAAGCGAGAGAAGGCATGAGGTGAATTGTGTTCACAGTCATTTTTTTTTTAAAAAAAGACGTAATGAAAACACATCGACGACAAATGAGCCCACCTTTTTTGTTTCTTCTTCTTTTTGTGTGTGTGCCTTAAAAATAAAAAAAAACGTTTGTTTATTTACGCTGGCCCGCATCTTCCCGTCGTTGCTTTCTCTCACTCACTCTCTCTATTTGTCTCTTGCTTCTGCCGCAATGCCTTTTCTCCTCATTTCCTGCTTGATGGGGGTCTTTGGCAACGCTGCTTCTGCTGTTTATGTGTCTGTGTGTGTTGCGCCACGCTCAAGGTGCGGTGTGGTTCATCTACGCGGGGGAACGGCATGCGGTGGGGGGGAGGGGAGGATGAATGCAAAGTTAGAGGGCGCTAATGTACTGCTTCTGCAGAGTGCGCCTCGCTACCGCCGTTTTTGGCGCGTCCTTCTGCGCGGGCGGTGAATTCTCCTCCGCCGCCTTCACTGGGGACGACGGCGGGGAACACGCGAAACGCGAGTCGACGCGGGCCCAACACACGGCCGACACCACAGACACCGTCTCTGCTTCCACGGCCTGCAGCCGGCCCACGATTGACACGTATCGCGCCATGTCGGCGGAGGAGCTGGAGACGCTTCTGCGCACCCGCGAGCAAGAGGCCCAGCAGCTAAGAGCCGTGTACGAGAACTTTCACTACGAAGTTGACAAGACCATGAATCTGTCACAGGTTCACGGGATGATGCAGCTTAGATCCCTGCAGATTAGCCATGAGGCTCTTGTGAAGCTCCGGGAGCAGCAGGAGATGTACAGCCGTGACCACCGCCTTCTCGTCACCGTATGTACCGTGTTTACCTTTGCGTTTTGGGTGTGGGTCCGGACGGCACTACGTCCGCTACGGGGACCTCTTTGGAGATGAAACGCAGCTGCGCATTCCCGTCAGCCAGCGCTCCGTGACGGGCATGGGGAGCTAAAACGAAAACGTATTTGGTTCGGCCAAGCGCAGTGCATGCAATCTGGAAACGTCATGGGAGCGTGAGGTTCGAGAGAGGCGTGAGAGGCCAGAACGCGAAGAAAAGCAATAGTGGTAATATGCCCATGCGGCAGTCCTTAGTGGCTGGTGTTGGCGGTGACGGCAGCACAGAGAAAGAACAGGAAGGAGGGAAAGTATCCTATGCATGGAAAGAGTTTTGAGTGCAGAGAGCAGGACGTTGGCATCCAGGCAAAGGACGTATGTGACTTTGGTTCCTGATTTGTGGTCTCTTCCACTGCCTCTTGTTGTTTTATTTCCCTCTCTTTTCTTGGTGTCATTGTTCTTGGGGGTTCTACGTGAATCCGTTTTTTTTTTTATGTGTGTGTCTTCACATGTTTCCTCACAAGCACCTACGCGCGTGCGGGAGAAAGGACGTTTTGCCACATGCCTCGCGAATACGACTTTGCAGATAAGGTCCTCTACACCGAGGAGGAGCTCCGGGCTCGCATTAATCGGGTCGCCCAGCGCATCGCTGTGGACTACAAGGACAAGGGTCTGCGTCCCCTTGACAACCCCCTTGTGCTCATCTGTGTGCTGAAGGGCAGCTTCATGTTTACGGCCGACCTCTGCCGCGCACTGAGCGACTTCAACGTGCCGGTGCACATTGAGTTTATTTGCGTCTCATCCTACGGCGCCGGTGTCACCACCTCTGGTCAAGTGCGGATGTTGCTTGACATCCGCCACAGCATTGAGGGCCGTCATGCGATGATTGTGGAGGACATCGTCGACAGCGCCCTCACACTAAAGTACTTGCAGCGCACCTACACCGAACGCAGGCCGGCAAGTCTGAAGACTGTCGTGTTGCTCGACAAGTTTGAAGGGCGACAAGTGAAGTTTGTTCCAGACTACACTGTGGCGAGTGTGCCCAACGTCTTTGTGATCGGCTACGGTCTCGACTACGACGACTCTTACCGCGAGGTGCGCGACATTGTTGTTCTTCGTCCAGAGGTATATGAGAAAAGGGAGGCGGCGCAGAAGAAGAAACTGAAAGAAAAGCCTTCCAAGACGCTGATCGAGACAGCGAGTGCAAGTCTCTAAGCAAATACTGAGCGTGGAAGGTGGATATATTCATGTATAATGTATATATCCCATTTTTTGTGTGTGTGTTTTTTTCTTCCTTTTTCGTTTTTCATCTTGGCCACCACGCATGGGAGTTAGGTACACGTGTACATGCTGGAGGAGAGGTGCGTGGCAACACGCGGAGGGAGGAATGAGAGGAGCCGCGAGGAATAATTTTAGTGGGAGCGGGCACATGTGGACGTGCCTGGAAACCAGCAGGGCGGTGTGAGGGGTATTTTGAAGTCAGCGCAAGGGGGGTGAAGCGAGGAGGCGGTGACGGTGGTGTCGGATGTGCGTGTGTTTTCGAATGTGCACAAGTCACTTCTGGATGCATCTTCACTGCTCTTTCTCACCCCCATCCTCCCAGCTTCGCTGTTTGTTTTCCCCCCATAACCCACTACTTTTTTTTTTTTTGTTTGCACTTTACATTGATCCCTACGCACTGAGGCGTGTTGAATATATACGTTTATTTGCCCTGTGCCTTTTATTTCGTATGTGTGTTGAGGCATGCGCTTCCTCGCGTATGCACTCACAAGGTGGTGTGTTTCGTTGACGCTAGGAGAAAGAAAGAAAAAAAAAAAAACAACGTTGAGTTTCAGTGGAAAAAAATAAAAGAAAAAAAATACAGCTACTTCAGGAGGAAGAATGTGGAAGAAACCAAGAAATACCACGTCGCAGGTGGGGTGGGAAATAAAGGATAAATCGGCTCTAAGTGCGCACATAAACTGCATTTTTATTGTTTGACGGAAGCATAAATTTCTTCCGGCATCTGCGAGGAATTTATGTGAGTGGTTGGGCAAGCATGCTGCTGTTGGAAGGGGCGCCTGTTTTACATGAGCCTTTACTTGAGCGGTGAATGCTTCGAGAAATAATCGCGATAGCGATATCGTCCCTTCTTGCTCTCAGCATCTTTGTTGTTTGTGTTGTTTTTTTTTTTTGTTGCTTGTGTGTTTTAATACTATAATGTATGTTTGATTGGTCTCGCCTCTCACGCACACATGAGCAGAAAGAAGAGGAGAGGGCGTAGTGAAGCGGAGGCCTTTACCGTTTCTACTTGCATGCCGCCCGCACTCCTCACAGACTGAGGTCGCCTCTATGGGCTCTTCCTGTGGCTTTATTTTCATTTATACGTCTCTCCTTTTATTTCGTTCTTTCTCTCTGGTGTCTCACACCTCCTCACTTGCCGCGGCGTGTCAATGTCTCGTTATGCACTGGTGGACGCTTTTTGCGCCTCTTGCGGGTGACACGCAAAACGTGAAGGGACAGTGGCAGCAGCTGAAGTGAGGAAGAAACGAAGACAATGATTTCTCCACGACAACAGCAGGAGAACGTCATCAAACATGTGAATGGCGTCATTTCTGTGGATGGCAAGGAGTACCCGATGGCGGAGGAACTCGTTGCCACCGAGAACATTATCCAGCACCGCATCAAGGCCGTCGCGAAGCAGCTCACTGACTTTTACAGGCCTCTATTACACCGTGATACACACAGCAGCAAAGGTCTGGCACCCATTAGCGATGAAAACCCACTTATCATTATTTCTGTGCTGAAGGGCAGCTACATCTTTACTGCCGATATGGTGCGTTACCTTGGGGACTATGGACTGCCGCATGTTGTGGATTTTCTGCGGGTGTCCTCATACAGCGGCACAAAATGCACGAACGCGATGCAACTGTTGGCAGATATACGGTTCAAGGATTTGCGAGGCAAACACGTTCTCCTTCTTGAAGATATCTCCGACAGCGGAAATACGCTGAGGTACATCATTGATAAGATTCAGCAGGAACATCATCCGGCCAGCTTGAAGGTCTGTGTGTTGGCTGACAAGCCTGCCGGCCGCCGCGTACAGGTGCATCCGGACTTTGTCTGCCTGACCGTGCCCAACAAATATGTGATTGGCTACGGCTTTGAGGTGAATGACCGCTACCGTTGCTTTAGGCACATCTTCACCCTCAAGCCGGAGGAGGCAACGCGGTACCCTTCGCAGCTGTAACATCCGCGTGAAATGTGCTACCGGTGGGAGGATGGGCGATGCCCCCGTGGCTTCGGGAACCGTTGCGCTAACACTCTGTAAGAAGTTGAAAATAATAGTAATGAACAAAAGGCAAACACTGGCCACAAGAAAAAAAAAAGAACAACAACAAAAGCAGCAGCGAACACTACTCACAGAGGGAGAAGGGAGACTTATGTGACTGGTGAATAACTGGGACCTCAGTGTGGGTGAAGCTTCTACTGGAAGAACGTTTTTTTTTGTGTGTGTGTTTTTTGTTTTTTGTTGTTTTGTTTTTGTGTGTTTTTTGTGGAGATTTTATTTCTAAGCGTTGATTGGTGTATGGCATGTCTCTCTGTGGATTTAAAGAGAGAGCAGGAGGACTAAAAGTGTTTGTGAAACACGCGTGTGGGGGAGCACTGGTATAGATAATTTGTGTCGATATCCTTTTCTTTGTTTTGTAGGGAATTTTTATTTCAAATGTGGTGGACGTTGTTTTAGGCACATATTATTATTGTTATTAATCCACCAACAAACAATAATAATTGTTCCCTCTTTCCGTGTCTAACGCCCCTGCAGCGTCCGCTTGGCCCGCAGCTTTGCGGCACGCCGTGAAATTGCGAGGTGACCGGGGAGGGGGATGCTGCTCGTGGGGGTGACGATGGTTGCAGCAACTGAACCACGAGCCTATGGGAACCTCCGTTTGATCTCCGTGGTTGTGTTCGCATGGTTTGTGTGAAGTGACAACTCTGCGCTTTTACTGCACGTGCCAACAGCGCTTCTTTGAAGCTGCAGAGCACAAACGTTGTTGTTGCCTTGCCCTTGTTGCACGTTGCTCTCCGCCTCCTATCCACACACACACACACACACACAGGTACAGTGGGAGTGGGGGTGAGAGGAGGCGACTGTGTGTCTGTAGGTGGACAGGAGACATATGCTCCGCCTGCCGTGTTGCTTCATATATATATATATATATATGTTTGCGCTTGACGAGGATATTTTTTTTTACTTCAATTTTTGTTCTTCTGTGGGGGCGGTTTATGCAGTTGCTGCACACCAACCGAAGGAAGGCTACACCTACGCAGAGTTGTGGGGTTGGCAGGTGCGGACGACGGAGTGACTGGGAAGCAGAGGGGCGCGGGAAGGAACGGTGTACCCGTGGACAACACGCATCTAAGGGAATATATTAGTGCGGTGGGAGTCAATCACTCATATTACGCACAAATAGCTCGCCTTTGTACGAGACGAGAGGAGCACTTAATTTCATACGTGACATAGCGGTTAGGTATAATTTGTGCTTTGTATGTATTGACTACACATATTGGGGGGAACGGGGTCTCTAATGCCAGCGTCCGCAAGCTCTTCCTCGGAGAGGAGCTGGCCACGGTGGCGGCGGGGGGTTGTGGGCAGTGCTCCCTCTTCAGTTCGGGGCGCATCCCCAGGTGCGTATTCCCAGCAGCGTGGTGCTGGCCGCTATGATCAATGCACGCCTCCTTGCAAAAACGACGGTGGACCCGTGTCGCAGTGGGACCGTTTTCCTTGCAGCCACCAAATTGGCTCCGGTAGCTTTGGGAATGTGTTTCTCTGCCATGACATGCTGCCCGGAAGTATGTGGTATCGAAAACCTGTGGCTGTGAAGGCGATGCTGCTGGAGACACTCTCTGATAGTTCGGTGGTCCTCATCATGAACGAGGTGGCAATACTGCGACACCTGAGACACCCGCACATTCTGCGGTACGTGGATAGCTTTATTGATGAGGATAAGCAGCTGTGTTTGGTCGCCGAGTACGCAGAGGGCGGGGAGTTGACATCGCTTTTGCGACGCCCCACTGAACTCGATGGGGGAGGCGACAGCCGACTGTCTCACCAATCGCCTTCACTGGAGGAAGGCGTGATAGACGATGGGCATGGTTGGAACCAGCCAGCAGCTCTCGCAAGTGGTGTTATGCAAAGTCAGACACCATGGCTGACGGGGTTCACGCTGGGCGGCACGCATGAGGGGAAGGCGGCGCCTCTGCAGGCTTGGATTGAGTCGTACCGCATTGCTGACATTGTGCGACAGTGTCTGGAGGCTCTGTCGTACCTCCATCAAAACTATATCATTCACCGCGACATCAAGCCAGCCAACGTGTACCTCAGCAAAGGTGGTACAGTAAAACTTGGGGACTTTGGCGCGAGCAAACTGCTAAGCTTGACAGATCCGTTTGCCAACACGTTTATCGGGACGCCCTTCTACCTTTGTCCAGAACTTTGCCTTGGTGAGCCGTACTCGTTTGGGGCGGACATCTGGGCATTGGGTGTCCTCACCTACGAGATGTACTGCAAGAAGCTTCCCTTTGTGGCAGACAACGTTTTAGCGCAAATTCATGTCATCACGGAAGGAGAATACGATAGGGAGGCTCTGCATCGCCCACATGTTTTCACTGCACCAGAGCTGCAGTCATTGGAAGCGCTGTACGGGAGTGCCTTTACACAGCAAGAAAAGAGTTTGCACACGCTGGTGGTTGCCCTGGTGGAGCGCATGCTTGTAGTGGATGCACTGGAACGGCCATCTGCATTGCAGCTGTTGCGGGAGTTTTTTTTCGCCGACCCTTTGTCTGGTTCCATGAGCACAGGGAGTCAGCTGCCCTCGCGGGAGTCCTTATTTCACGTTGACAGTTCGAGAATGCGGCGGAGCATTTCGCAGAGCTCAACCCCGCGCCCCCGAACATCAACCACCGAGAACACCTCGGGGACAACAACAACAACAACGGAGGCGGCGGCATTGCTTGTACGTTGCGTGAGTCAGTCGTATGAAGCATTGCTTGAACATCTGCCAAACGAGCGACGGAACGACGTCTTGCAGGCGGCGTCACGCTCAGTCTCCCCGATTTGCTACGCGTGGCCGAGTGCTTCCGTATTGCAGGGCAACAGGGACGCGGTGGACTTGGGCGAGGCTCCGCATTCTGACACATGTCAGATGACGTTATCTGAGATGATGGGGAAAATCCCGTGGCTGCGGCACGCGGAAGCGTTTTCGTCGCTCAGCCTGCTCGAGGGCCAAGACGATGATGTGGTGCGGGTGGATTGGATGGACAATGAACACTTTTCACTGGTGACGCCCCACCAAAGGCGCCGTTTGTTGTCGTCTCCGTGCCCCGTCTACGATGGCGAGGGGGGCGTGTGCTCGCTGGAGACGCGTGAGGCGACGCCAACAGCGGGGCATAAAGTGGCGGGTGGAAGCAAGGACGAGGCTGAGACGCAGGTGCCTGCTATACCGTCAGTCCAGGTAGTAGGTGTCGTTGAGGAGTTGCAGCGGCCACCGATTCTCGCAGAGCGTTTTGCGTCCCTGAACGATAACCCGGTGGAGGAGGGGGAACAGCAGCGGCAGAGGCAGCCCGGGGGTGTCGGGCGTTGCCAAGGCCTTTCCACGGAGGTGTTGGAGGCGATGTTGCGCAGGAAGATCATGGCAAGCCAAGCCCACCGGCAATTGCGACTCAAGGCGATGCGGGAGGCACACGCTCTGCGCGATAAGGAAAATTTGAGGCTGCAGGCGGAGCTCAACGAACTGTACGCCAAGTCCTTTTCTGAGAAGCGTATGCAAATGATTGCACACGGAGAGGAGTCGGAGATGAACACCACAATGAAACTCCCAGAAACTTTTGCGTCAACGCAACGCCCACGCTCCACAGCCGCGGATGCGGTGGGGGCGGTAGCAGCCTCGACCGTTGAGGGCGAGTTTGCGAAGACGGCGGGGCTTGAGCGCACTCTCAATCGCCTGGCTGCCACTTCCAACGCCTCAATGCAAAGCCATCACGGCGGGAACTCGACCCTTCTCGCAAATGAAGTGGTGCGGCTCGCGCTGGATGCGGCCGCCGTGGCAGAGCGCTGTGCGAAGTGGACGATGCGGCCCCCAGCGCGGTTGGACTTCAGCAAATACCCGGTGGACGAGGTGGATCGTCGCAGCACCTCCTCCGTGGCGGACACAGAGCGGGGAATAAACACGAAGGTGTATGATACGCCTGTAACACTCTGCATTGTACGGAACGAGACGTACATTACACGAGTCGATACACCCTCAGCGCCAAGTGGGGCCGACGACGCTGCGGGAGCGCTGTTACTTCCCATGACTGTGACACTAAAGCCAATTAGACGACGCACGCGTCTTGACGGTATCGTGTGGCGGGTAAAATTGGCCTTGAAGGCCTACGGTCTCGATTATGTGCTCCTCTTTCCACTTGACATTGACGACGTGGAGGAGGTGGACGCAGAAGAACTTGGACTTCGCTACCTTGACTGCGTGGGCGACGTTGTTGTGATTTCAGAGGCCTCGGAGTGGTCCTACGTTAGACGAGATTGGTACCAACGCAAAAATTTACCCTGGATGCAGCTTTATATGGTCATGCAGTAGAAGCGCGTATACCCATCTATGTCCGTGGGCGCGTTGAAGTATATTTATATCTAGTGAGGACAGTGATCCCCGCACTGAATTGCTTGTGAACTCTTTTGGACTGGTATTTGCCCCAGATTTACTTACCTTTCTATCCAAAGAGATGGATGTAAATAATAGGAAAAACAAACAAAAACAAGGCCATTACTACGATGCATTTTTCAATTGTTTTGCCTTTGTATATTGGCTTACACGCAAATATGGAGATGTGTGGTAGTCCCAGCATACTGCACGTCTCTCCCTTCTTTTTATTATAAGTTGCGTGGTTCCCTTCCTTGTTGTTGCAAGAAAGCCATATATTTATATATATATATATATAC